CACGGTAACCATTTATGCCAAGGGTCCAACAAGTACAGGCCCTACTACATATTTTGTAGTATCAACCTAATTTCACGGGCCTCTTTTCTAGTCCATACAGCGATACGACAGTGCAAAAACTAGGAGATAGGCGAGGATTGTTGTGTGTCTGAAACTACAACTGGGAAATTACCTTTTTCTAGTAGGTAATCATTTTGTCGGCGACTTCTGACTGCTCTTTTCTTCGTAGATTTTGCCCCAACTTCACATCAGTTTGGGTTCTCGTGGGCAGATATGCAGTGGAATTCCATTCTTGTCGCTGTTGCGACTTGGATCGCGACTGTGCCGTTGGCTGTGGCCGACTTCCAACTATATGCCTATTACGATAGAGAAACTCTACTGGCAGGATGGGACTTGACGAGCAGCTGCATTGACGCATTGTAAGTGCAAAATAAACCCTTTATCTATACTACCCCAAAGACTTCCCAAGGAGGGCCGCTAAGAGAGGACACTAGGAATTCAACGGTTACCTGCGATGAATCAGTGTCTACATTACTGGGTGGTGGTGTTGATTCTAATTGTAAGTGGCAATAACGCGGGTAGTCCAATGGCTGCAATGACGGCGAATTCTAGTAATTCATCGTACCGTCTGCATGAGCTAATCATGAACGATATGTAGACTGGTATATGGATAATATCACTGCCCTCTGCACAACAACATGTCAGGACTCATTTAAGGCATGGGGCTCAGATGTGGAACAAGCCTGTGCAGGTGAAAAGGTTGTCCAGGGTGGTGTTATCGTGGAGGCCAAAGCCTTGTCACTTTCTCTGACATATAATGCCCAGATCGCCTGTCTGCAAGACTCGTAAGTACTCAACCCGGCACAAGTGCTGGATGATTTGGTGTGAAATATCAATGAAGCCTTATTTACTTTGTCAAAGTGAATCCAATTGGTGCTTTTTCGATTCCCAGTCGTGGCAGGGCAGTGATTATATCCGATATGACTCGCTCATGTGCGCCGATGAGAGCGACATGGCCTGATATTTGCAACGAAGAAGACTTCGACATCCAATCAATCACTGCTGACATGCAAGCAATGACCAACCTTTACAATTCTTCCATGGTATGAATCAGCGGCCCCCGGAGAATACGGTTTGGAAGCGTGCTAAAACTCGCCAGTTCTGCAGCGAATGTTTCCTAGAACTATATCGGCTTCGACTCCTAGATCCCTGGCTGGCATCGACCAACTTCACTGATTATCTGATTGGGCAATTTGATTCTGTACAACAGAACTGCTCCACAACATTGCCGTATACTACGTCTTCCTCCACCTTGTATATTGGTGCACAGGCAACTGTAGCCACAACCGCCACAACTACGGATGCTGCCACAACAACCAATACCGCCGCATCTACCGCAGTTTGTCTAGGACAAATCGTGCAGCCAATAGCCAATTGGCTAACATGCGACGACCTTTCTGACACGTAAGTAGTCAGGAATAGCTTCATGGGACTGCATTGCAGGGGAAAAAGGAAATTTGAATGGACAACGACTGATAATCTTTGACAGATATAACATCTCCACGGGAGATGCACGCACGGCGACAGGAGACTACGATTGCTTCTTCGATACTCCTGCCTGTCTGCCCTTGCCATGCCCGATATACACTGCTTGGGGATCTCCCAGCTGGTAAGAATACCTAAGAATCCTCCCAAAATATTCGAGATTCCAAGGTCAAAAGGGGTATGTGCTAATATTCAATACTATGTTAGTGCATCCCTCGCCGAGCTTGCCTCTAACTCCACCAACAACGTTTCCGAGTCTCAATTTTTGGCGTGGAACTCTAACATTCAAGGCAGCTGCGGCAGAGTGGCCAACGGTCAGCGCGTTTGTATGGAAGCCCCTGGCGGCACCTGGACTGCGCCATCAGTTACCATTACAGCCCCCACGGGCACTGCCCTCTACTATACGACCGCAACACCAGCCTACCCAACACAGAGCGGTACCACCGAGAGCTGTGGCAAGTATTACCAGGTAGTTTCAGGTGACGACTGTGCTACAGTGAATCTCAGATTTGGACTTAATATCACACAGCTGCAGTCCCTGAACACATACCTTGATGACAACTGTTCCAATCTCTGGCTCGACTATGATGTCTGCGTGGCACCGGTCTCTGCGCCGACTGTCTCGTCTGATGGGTCTTGCGGTGCGGGTGTCACTTGTGCTGAAAGTGGATTTGGGAAGTAAGTATCATCCTATCCCGTTTCTTTTGAAACAGACGGCGAAGAATAAAATTTCCAGGGAATATGTACTAACGCACATTTCTTGTGTGAGCTGTTGTTCATCTTCAGGACAATGCACGGATGACTGTGGCTCGGCCGGAAATAGCACTGTTAGCACTAATGGTCTCTGTGGGCCCGATAATAGCTATATGACTTGCCCCGGCTCTGAGTTTGGTGACTGCTGTAGTAGTAAGTGCTTCACCCCTCATATTCGCCCCTGCTTCTTGCTTGGCTCTGCGTCAAAGGACACTGAGAACGACCATCATGACTGACCGACTACCCTGTTCACTTGAATAGTTTTCGGATATTGCGGCAATGGAACTCAATTCTGCGGCGCAGGAAACTGCTACGCTGGAAAATGTGACACTGACAACGGGGGCCCGTCAACCAGCGGCGAATGCGGACCTATGTTTGCTGGCAACAAAACGTGTACTGGGACACAGTTTGGTGATTGTTGTTCGGTCAACGGATACTGTGGTAGCACCAACGATTACTGCAGTCCTCCTAACTGTTACTCTGGGGCTTGTTTAACGACGGGATATACCTCTACGAATGGAGAATGTGGTCCCAATTTTGCGAACAACATGACATGTGTTGGATCATTGTTTGGTGATTGTTGCTCTGCGGCTGGATATTGTGGCAACTCGAGTGATTATTGCTCGGGTACAAATTGTTACAGTGGCTCTTGTGTCTCTTAGAGGTAGCATAGGAAAGCCGGTTAATGAGCATCCTAAAACTGTTCCTGCTTCAAGCGAACATGAACACTGTAAAATTTGAGCATAGGGGTGCAATTAACAGGGAAATCATCCACTGCCACTGTCTATATATGTATGCGTACTATCTCTTCGAAGTACTCTTTATTTCGCTATCCTGACTAAAATATGCATACTGAAATGCTGAGTAATATACATGTGATTATTCAGGCACTGAGGAGGCAAGAGAGATGAGTCCTATATACAGGCTACTAGTTTAGCTAGCCTAGCGGAATATGACACACATAGTGGCCCTATATCTTCAAGAACAACACATAAGACTAACAGAAATCTCACCAGCTTGGTGCGATCGAATATTCATTCCAGGCAACCCCATCCGCATCTCCGAATCTATCGATCCCTCCCTCCACGCCATCTTCACCCACTGTCCATATCCCAGTCTCAACCATCACTATCCACCGTTCAAACAGGCTCTCCAATCTCTGCGATCTCCGTTCACCCCCAAACGGATGGAAGTAACCATGTTGAAAGAGTGCCGTGAATGAGCCCGAGGGAACTGGTCTCCAATCACTCATCCTAGCCCCTTCCTCGTCTCGGAAGAAACCAGGTCGTAGTGGAAATGGAAGCACGAGACGGAAACCTGCCTCTTCCATATCATAATCTGCTCGACGCACAGGTTCACTGTAGAGTCCAGTGGGAACAGGATCGTTGTTGTTCATGCTCACATTCTCATGTGCGATGGAGAACAAGCTACGAATCTCGAGGTTGAGATCCACTAACCGGTCTGGAGCTGCAAAAAGTAGGACGCCTGGGATGCTATCCTTTTCATGAGGTATGTTGGTAAACCTCTGACGCCTCGCAAACGCCTCCTTATCATGCGGGACCTCTAGCCCAGGTGCGATAAATTTGAAACGCGGGGTCTTGACTCGTGTTAAGAGCGAGCGAATGAAGCAGTCCTGCGGCACGGCCGCTGCGTCCAGTTCTGCACTGGTAAAGAGCGGTGCAGAGATGGGCAGAAGTGAGTCAGGAGGCATTCGAGATTCGACTGCAGCTGAGTAGCGCTCTATCGCAGCTATAGTGCTGTCAATCTGGGCATCGCAGTAAGGGAGCCACGACCACAGATAAAATTGCGACCTATTCGTCGGGGGATCACCAGAAGGGAGTTCTTCAGGAAGCCCAGGAACAACCTTACCAATCCGAGTCATATAGATCCATTGGGTGAGAATAGTCTCCAGCGGGAACCACATTTCCTCGTGCTCGTCAATAGGCTCCACACTTTCCATATTGTCTGTAGTCATTGGGAACGAGGCCCGATTGAGCTGCTGGTCATAGACAACGCCGAGGTTATGCCCGCCGAGATCCACAATAGTGCGATAAATCAAAACAAATCGCTCCTTGTCCTCCTCCATCTCGTTATCCTCCATAAAACACTCGTCGCTGAGCTCCATCACAAGACTGCCAACCCAGTAGAAGAAGGGCGGCCTAGGATCATAGATTAAATCCAGAAACTTGTTAAGCGGCGCATCAAGACGCTCCCGAGTAGCTTCGACCCCCTCGTTTGATTCATGGAAAAACCACTTTTCGCTGGCTAGCGCATCAAGGTCGGGCGTGTCTCTTCCGTTGCGGGCCATCCAGCCATATGCGACCAGGTAATTGTGTAGTCTGGCGCAGCGCTCATAGTCAAGAGTGCTGTCCTCACGGGCCGGGTTGTCATCGGACACCAGAGCGTCTTCAATATCGAGGATCTGCTGTGGAGTGGTGTTCATGGTCACGGTGATGTCGAAGGGCAGGTTTATCAGCAGAAGAAAGTATGGAACGTTGGAAGTCGCTTGGACGATAAAGGTTGCCACAGCACAAGAGGAGCAGCTAGGAGCAGCTAGACTATCATGATTGGAGAATCATGGAATGCACCAATCAACATGGCGTGCAGCAGACACTGGGCAGCGCTCAGAAATGTACCTACGTACTTGATTTCCTCTGCCACTTCTTGGCTTTCCCTTTCCGTTTTAGTGCTCAGACCCTGCCGCTTTTTGCTCACTGAGTACGACTGAGCCCTCCAAACATTTTGAGGGCCGACAAACATGACAAACGTGGAAATCTGCTTAGATGTATAAAGCATGCAGGTTTCGGCGGTATTATTTAGTATTCTGTTTACAGCTTAGTAGTATAAAATTTTAATAAAAGGACCAGATTACTATCTATAAGTCCTATATAATAGCTAGATTAATATCCTATAGATAAAGTTTAAAAATTTTTTTAAAAAAAAAAAGTTGTTATTACGATTAACTATAATACAACTTGATTTCTTAAAATTTCTTAATAGTAATAAAGAAATAGATCATAAAATTATATTCAAACCAGAACAGTATTAAATACAGTAATTTTTTAAGATGACTTAGCAGTTTTATACGTCTAAATTAGGAAAGGTCAACTTTTTTAATACAAATGGGGGCGGATGAGGGCCGCTCGAGGGCAGCCCTTAGAGGGCGGAGGGCGGGAGATGCCCGCCCTCTAAATGTTTTTAATGAGGTCTACTAACACTAACTGTGACCAGTTTGCAGTGCGTAACAAGGAGGCAATTACACCCTATAATATACGATCCGCCTAGTCTAAGCGGCCTCTTCCCATTCGATCCGTCTCGCGTCCTCCGAGAGTTCTAAGCGTCCCGGCCTAAGATTTAGACCACGATCCCTATACAGTAGATTTCGAAAACAGGTTACCCCCTAGACACACACGCTCTCCCAGCGCCCCACTGCGATTGCGTCAAGCTGAATTTGGCTAGAGAAAGCCCCGCTTGGTGGGGCGCGGGGCGGTGTGATTGGCTGTAGGAGGCGACTCTGGAACTCGGTGATCTGGAGTTGGCTCTTAGTGGGTCTCTGGGAAAGAAAGTGTGTGAAAGGGTAATGTGTTTTCGAAATCCTCTGTAGACTATCAGACCATATCTTCTAATCTCTGTCACACTCTAAACATCTCTGATCATTTCGCCCTGCTTCGTAGCGAGGTAGAGAAAGACACCTAGAGTCTAGACAGTGTGTGCAAACATCGTCTACAGACACTAAGCTACGCGGCCGAAAAGGTCTTTACGGAGCGCGCCTTGTCGCTAGATAAGAACCGGATCCTATTTGAGTAGAACAATGAAAAGACCTGTCGACAGTCTAGTGGCCCGACGGTCGTAGGATATGCGAAAGTGATAAGCTACGACGATATCGTTGAGGCGCAAAGAAACGCGACATGACGGTGGCGAAACAAGATCCCACGCGGAAAAAGAGGCCGGAAGCTGGGGGAAAGCTGCTTTCGAAATCGGAGGAGAAGAGCAAGGCTGAGCAGGAGATTCAAGCATTGAATATGAGTGATTACTGTTCAGTTTTAGACTTATAGACTCTGTTGAGGTGAGGGATAGGGTCTAGGAGGAGCGATGCAATGGCCTGCTATTGAGTATTATTGAAGATATCTTAAACTAAGAATAACCCCCTGAGTGGAAGCGTGCTTTACACGCTTCCCAACTGTCTTAGTGCGTCTCAGGGAGGATGGCAAGATAGCCATCAAAGCCTCAGCGGCATTGAAGACTGCTGAAACCTCAACAGACTCGTTCGGCACGTTACAATTTCCTGTGTCTCTATCAATTCATCGCGAACAAGAGAAGGTCACTTGTATAGCATCTTGGATGACATCACCAACGCAATGTCTCGTCGCAATTACGGTACACAGCAATGATGGTTCTGCCCAAATTTGGAGCCAGGGGGCAACACATAGCTGAGGGTCGTAAGAAAGGTAGCCAGTAGATCCAAAGGAGCAAAGCCGAAGATGGTCACATTGAATAAATTTGACCACCCGCGCTTTCTGCGCCGCCTCGAGTATTTTGATGCTAAGGTCAGAATGTACCCTATGCGGTCAGAATGTACCCTATGCAACAGAACATATCGGGTATACTGCAGATAAATACTTGGTTAGCCATGACGTTCGTTTCTTGGAAACATGCAATGAAGACTGACAACCTCTGATGTGGCCATTTCAGCCCCGGCATAGCCCCGCCATCAAATCTAGCTTAGCGTCTTTTGAAAGGTGACTTTAAATACCCAAGTAGCGCGCAACTTCTAATCTTACATATCCCCTAATATGGCACAGGAATATTCAACCGCAGGAGACTACGGGCTCAAAACCCTATACGAACCCGAGCATGCAACTGTCGAGTAAGATAGGATCGCGCTGCGCCGTCCCAGGGTTCAATACAGTACAACTAACCATAATAGTATTCTTTTCGTTCACGGGCTAACGGGGAACCGTGAGACGACATGGACGTTTAAACCCACGAGACAGCTCTGGCCCCAGCATTTCTTGGCCAAAGACCTTCCGAATGCGCGAATCATCACCTTCGGTTACGATGGGGACATCATCGGGGCTCTTAAGGTCGCGGGCTCAAATACTTTACGCGATCATGGGAAAACGCTAGCACATGATCTAGCAGTGTGGCGGAAGAGATCTAAGTCGGTTAGTACAAGCCAGATCTTAATCGCTTGGCTATGCTGCACTTAGCGATGCTAACCCGGGATAATTATGTTAGGATCATCGGCCCCTGATATTCGTCGCGCATAGCCTCGGAGGTCTTGTGACGGAACAAGCCCTCCTGATTTGTCGCGGAGCAGCCCAACAGCACTATAAGGATGTCCTTGACTCCACTGCCGCAATTGCTTTCATGGGAACCCCACACCTCGGATCCAATAAGGCTGCGTGGGCATTACCACTAACACGCTTAGCCAATGTCCTTCGCACAGCGAATAAAGAACTTATTCAAGCGCTAGCGCCAGGGTCGGAAATGCTCGCCAATCTCCAACAAGAATTCCATACAATGCTAGAGGATCGGCGCAATCATGGCAAAAAACTTGAAATGTTCTGCTTTTACGAGGAGCTTGAAGTGACCGGAGTTGGAAAGGTATAAGCTGTTGAGGCAGCTACATATCAAGATTTGCTTTTTATTAACGTCATCTAGATTGTCTCCGATCAATCTGCTATCCTAGCATCCTGTCCAAACCGCTCTATTCACGGTAACCATATGCAGATGACCAAGTTTAGCAGTTGTCAAGATCCCGGGTACATGGCAGTGAGCAACCAGCTGTGGGTATGGGTAGATGCAATCGAAAGTCAACAAGGCCCAGTGTCGATGGAGGCAGGAAACCGAAAACCCCGATCAGGATACTTCATAGAGTCAAGCGGTGGTCCAGTGATGCTGGGGAACATGAACGCGGGACGAGATTTTACTTTTAATAATAACATCAGTTATTGATATCTCGACGTCAACTGGACTTTGCATTATTCAATGGATCGTTTTATTCTAGTCTCTTAGGCTCGCAATGCCCAGATGAGCAATGTAAGTAAAGCAAGAGGTCATGAATATATCACTTTAAATTATGATATTATTGTGTTCTTCATACCTATGCAGGAAGGGGCATAGCGCCCAGGGTTTCATGCACCTATCTGACGCCCAATTGACGCCTAATTAACCCCCTCAAAAGCGAACCTCATCTTATGCGGCTGGATTCAGCCACGTTCCTTTTCGGATTAGCGCGTATTTCGTTGATTTTGCTTCATTCTGCGCGTGAGCCGCCGCCGCCCTACCCAGCCCCCCGCGTGTGACTCGAGACTACATGTGATACACCCGCATAACCACGAAGCTGAGATTCCACTTTTTCATTTCCTCTCAAGCAGTGTAACTTTGTCTTGACATCTATACAACGCCAAAAATTATATTGTTTGGCCGGACCATACCATGCCTCCACCAAGAGACCAACGTAAGGCGCAAGCCGCTAACTACACCTATACCCAAGGGGGTGGCGTATTCAGCAATCTCACTGCAGCAAGAGACATCAAAATAAGTACGAGTCATTATACCTTCTATAATCACGTCTATTGCTCGAGCTACTGGATGATTGGGTGGACGATCACAACAATGCTAACCCTGGTGATGTATCAGATCATATTACAAGTGTCTGTCCACTAGCACACTCTCTCTACCAGTCATTCCCCAGGTCGTCAGGCTACTTCAGCCAGGTTCGAAATGAACTTGAGCTACTCATCCCGGATCTTGAGGACGCACAAAAACATATCTCGGATAGTCAAGCAGGCGGAAGTCAAAGCCCGGAACTTGATGAGGTACTGAAGAGCTGCCACTCAGTGTTGGGTGATGTCTCCCAGATTAAGCAACACTCCAATGGTGTTGGGTACCAAGATCAAGCTGCCTGGGACCGTATGGAATGGTGTGTCGAGGAGCTGGGCGTTATTAGAGCGAGAATAGAGTCGTTGAAACTCGCGGAAGTGTCTTTAAAGTGAGCATGAAAGAATAGCCCTATAAAGCTCGCGGTTAACCAAAAGGAACAATACTAGATCCTCAACAGCCAATATCGAGCGCATGTTGACCGCATATATTAATGCAAGCCGATCTAGCAAAAGAAATGGGTCGGCTGCTTCAACTATCACGAGTGGCTCTCTCTCTAAGACCGAACAGGAGGCCTGGAGGGATGTTCGCAGAGAGCTCCAAGGCGTCGGAATAACCCCTGAGATGTTCTCTCAACATATTGATTACATCAAAACCAGAATTTCAACTGCTGTTCGTGAGGGATCCCTTGGGGATATCTACGAGCTTCAAGAGAGTTCAGATCATGAACAACTTCCCGGTCCGTCGGATAGCACAACATCGCTTACGACCATCTCTTCGACCATCTCTTCTATCTCTTCTATTCTTAGCGAGCAAGAAAAGCATTCCGCGGCCGAAGCCGCGTACCGATACACCTGGGAGAGACAAAAGCGAGCTCTTGGCAAGAATCACGCCGACACGCTGGACACTCTTTCTGCATTAGGCGATGCACTCGACGATCAAGGGAAGTACGCCGAGGC